GGGGGTGAGGAGGGGTGAGGAGCAGGGAGTTGTTAGAAACTCCTCTCTGAACGTCTGAACGTTGATAAATTCAACAAATAGTTGAGGTGATTTATGAGCTGCACTCTGAGCTGGAGTTAGCTGGTCTGTACTGGTCTGTACTGGTCTGGTCTGTACTGTACTGTACTGGTCTGTACTGTACTGTACTGGTCTGGTCTGTACTTTACTGTTCTGTTCTGTACTGTACTGGTCCGTTCTGTTCTGTTCTGGTCTGTACCGTTCTGTTCTTGTCTGTACTGGTCTGTACTGTACTGGTCTGGTCTGTACTGTACTGGTCTGGTCTGTACCGGTCCTCTCTGAGGAGCCTGCTGTGTCAGATGCTGTGTCAGATGGTGTGTCAGATGAACCCACCTTAGCTCTTTGGTTCTGGAACCAGACCTGGACGACCCTCACACTCAGACCGGTCTCTGCAGCCAGAGTCTCTCTCACCTGAACACACACACACACACACAGAAACCTGTTTTAGTTCTCTGTGAAACCTCTTTTCCCAGCAGGCACGTGGCCTCCTCCTGGGTGACCCCAGCTCCTGGAGGAGGAGGAGGAGGAGGAGGAGGAGGAAGAGGAGGAGGTGCAGGGACTGTTCCTCAGCTAACACAGAGCAGAGAGCTGCTCCCCACTTCAAAGCCCCGCTGCCGGGCTCCTATTGGTCGAGGACTTCAGTGGGAGAACCACTGTAGAGCTGGAGGTCGACGACTTCAAACACAGACCCAAGGACTCATTAGGGCCCGTGTGCCAATGGACAACGTCAGAGGGTGATGGACCAAAGGAGGACACATCACAGACATCAAAGGACGCTCCTTTAGAACTTCTGTTGGTTTAAAGTTCTGACTTTAAACATGGAGTTCTAATTGGTCTCATTTCTTTTTCTTTCTTCTCTAGTGATTCCAAATGTTCCGATGCTAGTAACCTGACGTTAGCGCCCCCCGTATCGTGATACGTCTCGTATCGACAGATTGTTGACAACACACAGATCGACATTCTGTCCAGCAGATGGAGACTGGAGAGTGTGCAGCCATCGGCTACAGCGCCCCCTACAGGTGAGTGTGACATGCTGGTACCTTTCTGCAGGGCTTTGAGGAGACTTCAAAGGAGGCCTTGAAGGCCCGTCTCTGCTGAGTGGTCAGGATGGTTCTGGGTCTCTTGGGCCTCCTGGGATCCTTCCCATCGTCCCCCTTCCCTTGTCCTGCGACTCCTTTCTCTGGTTTGATGTCCAGCTCCTCGTCCTCACTTTTCTCTGCAGAAAGAAAGAAAGAAAAAAACCCAAACATTTTTGGTATCATCCAGCGTGGGCTGAACCAACTCCACCCTCAGAGTCAGTGACAGTCGGCAGATAAATCTGTGAGCTCTCCTCCCTATTCCAGCAGATCCAGACAGCAGGGGGAGACACATGTGTTCTTCATCTGCTCTTATCAATCCATTACAAAGGGAAGAAAAAGCCTCACGTCTGATTGGCTGCTCGCTGAAATATGAACATCTGTCACTGGGCTGGAGCGCAGATTTACTGAGCGCAGCTTTGTCTGATTTTCACTGAATCAATCTGTGATAAGAGACGTTACTTCAACACGGAGGAGGGGATGTCAGTGTACTGCAAGTGTACTGCAAGTGTACTACAAGTGTACTGCAAGTGTACTACA